TTTGACTTTTCCACTCTTTATACTACACTTCCACAAAATCTCATCAAACAAAAAGTTTTCCTATTTAACTAAATGGTCGTTTGATAAATCTGAGTGCAACTTTATTTGCTGAAACTGATATAAAGCCTTTTTTTCAATGTTACTGGAAGTGTAATGAGATGATTAAAGCCATAAATTTTCTCCTTGACAACATTTATAAACGTTTCGGCAATAAAGTTTATCGACAGATGGTAGGTATTCCTATGGTCCCAAGTTTTTGGCCTTTTAATAGCAGACTTGTTCCTGTACTTTTACCAATCCTTTAAATAAACTTATTCTAAAAGGTAACCAATTCAACACTGTAATTAGATTTTTTAATATTGTTTTTATTGGTATAAATATTGATTTTGTTATTTGTAATTAAAACCATACTAAATAGTATTGTTATACACATATGCACTTTCGCGGTATTACAATCTGTCGATACCTATATTTTAGCATTGCAGAAGGTCATGTTTTTCTTTGACTGTTAAAGGGACATTATCTGTCAAATTCATGTTCACCGATTTGACTCAAATTCTCATATTTGATTTAAAACATACTAAAACGTATATTCAAATTACAATAAGTCTGAAATAAACAGTGAACAATGCATGTACTCGATAATATATATCAGCATTTCGTGTGTATTTTAGTCTAAACGTCATCTAATTAACTATCGAGATGACATCCGAAGACTGTCGACGGTCACATAACCCGATATAAACATAAACATAAATATAAATAGATAGCAACCTCGTGCAATTGCATTTTTGTAGGTCTGTTTGATTTCATGTTATAGGTTAAAAAAATAAGTTACTCGTCGTTTTTACCTGTATAAGAATGATTTTTGTGTATCGAATCAGTCAATGAAATGGTTCACCTTTGTTTCACTTTCAATGTTGACATTCGTTTCCTTTTAATCGCTGAACACGACTAATACATGCGTAACAAATCTCTAGCTAATGGGTTAAAGCGAAGGTCACATGAATACGGGTTCAATAAGGTCGAATTATTCTCTTGCAAGTAAATAATTCATCAGCGATGTTTCTTTGCTTATTTTGACAAAATTGAACCAAATTGGCTGCTAAAAGCGAATTATTATTTCATTATTTAACTTTTATTAATGATTGTTCCAAATAAAATCCTATTCTAATTTTTTTCATATCGTAGCTTATGCACCTTTAATGACGTCTTTACACTAAATCCATTGGATGTTGGATGTGTACTGATTGATATATTAGTCTAAGATACATGATTTCTTTTATGAGTTATTATTGGCTGTGAACTTGTTGTCAGAACTGCGAGTACTCTCAGATATTTACTTTGTGTCTTTTGTTGTTAGGGATGTATAAATACCCTACCACGTCCGGTCTGTGTTTTTGTTAGATGTTTATCTGCTTTGTATCAGTGGTTGTCGTTGGTTCATGTCTGTCATATTTGTTTTTCGTAAATTGTATTGTTATAAATTAGGCCGTTAGTTTTCTCAATTGAATTGTTTCATATTTTTTATGTCGGGGCCTTTTAAAGCCGACAATACGGTATGGGGTTTTCTCATTGTTGAAAGCCATACGATTGAGCGCTTCGGACGCATGAAATTATTAAACGTGTTGTTTTCAATTTTTTGACTATAGCTATAATTGCTTTCATCCACTTCATTTTACTTGGGTGGATAGTTGTCTCATCACATCTCCTTATTTTATATGTTTATTCTATTTTTGAATACACTGATGAACCGTAAGGCTCAAAGTTAATAAAGAATTTGAATTTGAATTTGACTAAAATCTATATATCAGTCTCGGTTAAATTCTTTTTCACCTTTCACAATATTTTTAACCTGGGCGATTTAGATTCTAACATTTTGTACAAACACTTGCCTATAAATGAGGTTTAAATATTGACTCCAAAGATTTTTTGAGTTCTTGCAGTGATGTCACATTGATATATACCCTATCGTCACAAAGGCTCCGTAATTAATCTTCTTTATAAATATATATGCATTGTACATGTGATAATCTGTATATTTAACTAAATTGTTCAGTTTGAATTATTTCATTCCGTATTTGCCTTATGATTAATTTTATTTACCAGTAAATACAAGAAACAAAATGTTTGACTGAATTCATCATGCAAATAACATCATTTGACAGAAATATGTTTCTCCTGTTCTAGTCTCAAGTCCGGCATTCGACATTTCTGAATTAAAAAAAAATAAACCAAGAAAATTTGCCATGACGCTTCGTATACTAGTATGTAATATCTCAACAGCGATTGCCACTGAACCAAAGAAGTTAAACTTCTTATTTTATTTTGTTTTTCAATAAATAAATGTCTAAAACGATAACCTTTGATTTACTTGAATACAAATTAATTCAACCTCATAGATAACTAAAGATCGGGCGAAATGTTGTAAAAAGGCATGCGTTAAACGGACTTGAATTCACACTCACAGGCAGGTCCCTTGTTGATTTGACTTAAGAACTAGCTTAAATGTATGCATTTTCAAAGATCAATAGTCTATAGCATTTATAGTGGTCACAGTTTTCATTGATGAATTAGATGGGTACAAATATTTAATAAGAAATACTCATCATAAAGCAATATATGCAAGATATACTTATATATCTTGATGTAATATTTGTTCCTTACCACTAGAACAGATGTAGAAACATTGGTGAAATAAATCGGTTAATTGAAAATATGTACGAGGTATCTTTAAGATATTCCTAAAGATTGTTTCTCATCAAACAGGTAACGAATCTACTCTAACTACAATTTGACAGTTTGACTTAAAAAAAGCTATTACAGCTCGAGAAACAATTTTTCTGAGAAATATCAACTGTATGTTTGATATTTCGATGAAACAATTCAAACGAATAAACCAATAGCCTGATTTATGACAAAACGATAAAAGAAAAACAGACGGTTTGCATAATTGTTCAAATCGGAACCAACATGATAAGATAGAAGGAAACTTTACTGATACTTCCTGGTGTGCTTTCTTATAAAAGTATCTTCATTTAAGGATGGAAGGTTGATCTTTCACGAATAAATGGTAAACCGGTGGGTTTGGAGAGAAGGTACCGAAAGAAGAATAACATGTCATAGATAAATGTTACTTGAAATTATTGTTTTCTTCCATCTTGTGAATAAATTTTCCAATCACTTTCATTGATTAATACGGGAAAATCACAACTTTACATTAGTTTTTTTTTCAGTTTACAAATATAAAGGCAAGGAGTTGTAGTTGAAATGCCAAATATACAGCGTTCTACCAGAGACAAATACACGAGGATGTTTTGGATTTGTCTGGTTGTTTCAATTTCTGTAATGATTGGCCTAACTTTCAAACAATCTTCTCATTGTGCAACTGTTGTTGTAACTTCTTTTAATATTATGTTACCATAATTATGTTTTCCAATTTTTACGTCGTCATTCGAATATGCAATTTAGCATCGTTTACTTTAGTCTTGAATTTCATCTGCATGAGATAATATATTGTTGATAAGGAATTCCATATTTTGAATAGATACTTTCAACGTGAAATTAACACGGGCATGGTGTGTGCAATTCAAAGCGGTTTTGTCGTTATATATATTCCCGCGTATTCTAAAGGTCTGCAACCCCTATTTTGAGCCAGGTCAGAAAACAACATACAAGAAAGAACTACCTATTTTACACAAAATAGTCCCTACGCATAGCTGTAACTTTGTAAATATCCAGAACATTTTGGTAATTTGGGAATCAAATGAAAAAACCTCAGATCACTGCAAAACCCTTGTTGAAAATTTCTTTTTGTTGAAGAAAACAAAATATTTGATACTGAAATAGGAATGCAGATTTTGCAAGTTTCCTAGATCACAATTACCTGTTTTGTACTACCAAACTTCTGGTAACCACTGCGAATTTATATGCACTAAAGTGCATGTTAAATTTTTCAGCACATGTCAGGATATGGTATAGTTTTGATATGACATGACTGTCACTGTATTCAAACTTGAGACAAAACTGATATGAATGCATGAAATTGCAGAATTTAACATACGAATGAAAGGGGCTATGAAGTAGTAGTTTAAATCCATAAATGACTTTTAAATATGTTTTTGTTAACGAAATGAAGTATATACAGTCTTAATTAATACATTTGGAGTTGATTTTCTGTTTTCAACAACAAAGTTTTACCAAATGGAATTCTCCCAAAATTTGTTCATACGTGTTTTTAAGATCTGCTAGGAAGTGAATACATATGACGGGACATTGTCGTTAACGGATGTATAAAGTGGTATTACAATTTTTACTTTTCTACATAGAGGCAAAATTAGTTCACTGATGTTCAAATTTCACAAATCGACTATTGAAAAAAACATATCAAAGTTACAAACAAAAACAATCCCATGAACTACATGTATAAAAGGAGCGTTACTGAGTGCGTCGACAGGATAATCATCTAATGCCATACATGCATCACCCGCCATGCGAACATTCAGTAAAAATATCAAAATACGGAATTGAACAATCGGTACAGATAACAAGACTGTTCTAGTATCTAAAGATCTAAGACCACGAAAACATGTCGCTTGGAAGTTGAAAAACAGCCACATCTTCTCGGTCAACCAATTTGTGATGGTGACCGTAAAAATTATGTAGTGTTTTATTTCAGTCTTCTTTCCACATAAACACGTTAATTTTGTGTCAGGAGCACAGCCCTATTACATATGTTAATTGAGTGTGTTTTGTCTGAACATGCAAAACATGCACAAATGTTACGTTTCAATTGAGATATGCATACACCATAAAATGTATGTTGAAACTGAGAAAAAGGAATTTGACAATTGGAAAGTAGAATTCATCACGTTTGTCATAATTCTAGCTCACAGTCAGCCATGTGTGTCAATATAAAGAAAAAGATCAAGATTGGAAGCAGACCTTTTGGTTTCGCTGGTATACCTATCTTAAGTTCATTGAAATATACTGTATGAACATACTTTGAAATAAAGTTTATTTTTGATAGATTAAAAAAACCTGCATGTTCCAAAAAACAATATTTTTTGTAAAAATCATGATAAGGATATCAATTACAAATTACACACAAAAATGTCACTGAAACAGTATATCAGTGTACAACAAGTTATCTTGTGTTGTTTTTCTTTTGGTAGTTTTTCGTTTCTTTCCATGGGGTTGTCGGTTTGTCTTAGACTAACGAGCTTGAATATCCCTTTGGTATCTTTTGGGTCTTCTCTTTTATGGGAAACGATTACATCTAAGGCTTCAACTTTACAATTTAAAATAAAATATACAAATATTAACACAATTAAATTTATTTCATAAGACACCCATATGTGCATTAATCACCATTGGATATAGCTTTCATTTTGGTATTTCCAGCATTGACTTTTCCTAACCCAAGTAACTCTGCTTTTAGTCCTGCTCCAAATTCTGATTCCTTTCCTTTGAAACCCAATCTGGTATTGTTTCTATGTAAAGCACTTCCATCTGAATGCTCTTCTCTTATTGTTGTTGATTCATATAGCCATTCATTCTTTCGGGATGCACTACTTCCCATATTAAATCTAAAACTAAATAGAAATTAATTTTCTTTCAAACTAATATAAAGGAATACAACGATACAAGCAGTCCACTTTCTTGAATGGCTCTTCAATTTGATTATTTATTTTTTATCTTTCTGACGTTTCAGTTTCCACCGATCTTTCAGGGGGTGAATTCAGAAAGCACCAAATACAGTTTTTTTCATATTTCCCCCTTTAATTGCTTCTTTGTCAATGAAGTTGAATAATTTTTTTTCAACCGTTTTAGCCAAACTTAACTTTTGCAATCTCGTGTTTTTTAAATCTATATTTCATACTGCCAAATTAATGTTGTTAAATTGTGATCAAATGATTCAAATGCGGAATTTGGAAAAAAACCTATTTGAATATGCATGGTATCAATTAATTTACGATGTAATCATTTTGTAGTGAAAGTATTGCATTTGTACTGTAAAATGACGATTGATCATGCCTACTATGAACTATTTCTGTACGATCTAAAAGTATTTTTCAATCCAAGCAGTTTTATAGACTATTTCGAAATTAATTAGCGTTTTGCGAGTTTTCTAATTTCAAGATTTAAATTTCCTAAATGATTAGGACTGTATCATTCCATTATCGATAGTGCGGAAGTTTCTAAACTATCAATATATTCTTAATATGATTCTTACCTTATTCTACTGTGATAATTAAATCCCTATTATTGCTTCATTACTTTTAAATTATATACGTCTGATAATGCAAATTAAATGTCTCAAAATGTACAAGTTTATGAATAAAACATATTTGTTATGATTTTCAATGTAGACCCTTATGACAAAGAAGCATTAGATATCAATATGATATATAGAAAAACTCCGAATCAATGAAAAATTGACATACTTGATTTTCAAAAATAATATTTCGTCAGTGATGCTTAAATTCAAATACTGGAAATTGGAGAGAATCAAAGTTTAAGAGCAATTTAACTCAGAATAACAACAGAGAAAGTTATCTGAACACGTAAAAACACCAACACTGTTTACAAAACATTAAACACAACGTAAAGTTAAAATAACGCAGGGAAACTCATGCATTTTAAATTATCACTGAGTCGGTACCGCTGATATTATATATTGAAACCCGAAGGTGTCATCTGTCAAGCATTCATTTTTTTGTTTTAGTGTAACTGAACTTGCAAGAGCAACACAACGGGTGCCACATGTAGAGCAAGATCTGCTTACCCTTCCAGGGAACCTGAGATCACCGCCAATTTTGGTGGAGTTCGTGTTGCTCAATCTTTAGTTTTCTATGTTGTGTTTTGTGTACTATTGTTTGTTTGTCTTTTCTTTTTAGCCATGGCGTTTTTAGTTTATTATTCGACTTATGAGTTTGAATGTCTCTTTGATATCTTTCGCCTCTCTTTTACAAAATACATTTTATGTGTAAATTTCCAGTTAAAAAGATGGGGTAATTATTATAAAAGTTATTATTATAAAGTTGGCAAAATTGATCTTAGATGGTTATTTTTGTCCTGTTTATGCATTTAAGATGCTTAAGATCTCAAAGCTTTACATTGCCAACCTTCGAGACGAAAAAAGTCTCGCACATAATTTGTACCTGATTTATAACAGAGAAGTCTGTACATTTAAAGCTCTTAAAACTACACAATTGTTAAAACACTAAGGTTGCACATCAAGCAGGCAAAGTTGACGTCAAACGTGTTTGACTGTTGTGAACTCAAATCATTTACATTTTGGGCTTCGAATGGATACCTAAAAAACACATGTTATGTTTGAGGAAAACTATATCTTTTAGTATAACTACTTCCTTCAGTTTTAGATTTATTGAGTTTTAGACCAAAAAGGTTGTCAAATGTTTCAATTAAATTTAACTGTGATTTCCTGTTTAGAATGTAAGAGCAGAGTGATATCATCTGCTAGTTGACATAACCTAATAAAATTACAAAGTGAATGAAAAGCTAAATTATTATTTATTATGCTATTACGAACATTACTTTACTCCTCTGATATAAACGCATTGATTGACAAATAAACGGACGATAACTATATCATAAAGTTGAATGTGGTAAGCCGAATATAATTTGATATATGATAGCATTAAAACGAAAATGGCTAAAAATATGACGCAGGCATTACTGTCATGGGTTAAATATTTAAAGAGACGTGTAGTCTTGGGGGCAAGCTGAAGCCCGCCTCCGGGTGCGGGAATTTCTCGCTGTGTTGAAGACTCAGTGGTGGCCTTGGTCTGTTTTCTGCTCTTTGGTCGAGTTGTTGTCTCTTTGACACATTCCCCATTTCTATTCTCAATTTTATAAGAGTTTTTCTTTTAAATTCGTATAATTAAACATGTTAAAGGAATCGTAAAAGTTCAATGATAAGGTAATATTGCCATTAAAATACATCGGAAGAAAAAGGGAGTGCGGGCGGATTTAAATAACCCTTTTTTAATGAGGTCTTTTAATGTCAATTTAAATTTATCATTAAGCTTTTGCTGACTTTACAAACAGTAAAACCCCATAAGAAAGTACAGAAAAAAAAACATTTGCAAAAGCCTTTTCTTCCTAGAATTGACATATTTATTTTTATCCTCAAATAAACACCGTGAGTGGTTTTATAAAACTAAGGGGTAAATTTATATTTTAGAACTTCAGTCTTCATTTAAAGAAATGAGTTAATTAAAACCCCATACAGACCAAATTTACAACTGACCGGAAAATTTTCTGTACACCAATTTTTCATTAAATATATATTTGTCGTTTGTCAGTAATCCGAAAATAGATTCAGAAAGACCAGACTATGAGAAAACACTTATGAAGTAAATCTCTTCCAACAATTAGTTTTTTTAAACAGTTTGTTGGAAAACTTCCAATAAAACAATTCCAGATGGACAAGGTTTCTCCAGAATATTCAGGTAAATGGACTTTTTGTATTAAAATAAGGAGATGTGGTATGATTGCTAACGAGACAACTATCGACCAAAGTTAAAATGAAGTGGGTGTAAGCAATTACAAGCAATCTTGCGGCCTTCGACAATGACAAAAACCCATACTGTATAGTCAGCTATGAAAGGCCCCGACATGAAAATGTTTTGCAATCCAATTTAGAAAACTAACGGCTTAGTTTATAACAAAACAATTAACGAAAAACAAATATGACAGACATGAACCAACGACATCTACTAAACTACATGATCCTGACTTGGGAAAGGCACATAAAGAATGTGGCGGGATGAAATATGTTTGTGAGCACTGAGGGTAACAATTTTTAATGTGATATTGGAAATAATCATTATAAAATTCTGGATCTAATATTGTTAAATTGGAACATATATCATGGGAAATGAAATAAAAACTGAATACTGTGGATATAGTAAAATCAAGTGATATAATGAGAAATATAAATAAAATATTTCCAAAGATTTGTAAAGTGAGGATAATTATTTTGAATGTGATATTGGAAATGATAAAAAAATACAAAATTCTGGATCTAATATAAAGACTCTGTGCCGGTTCAATTGGGATATACATCATGGGATATTAAATAGAATATTGTGCATATATTGCCATGGCAGTCAGCAGGGTTTAAGAACATCAGTTGTTCGACCTGTTAGTCAAATGCGTTTTGTTAAAATATAATTTTTCACTTTTTGGTCTTTTGGAAAATGTTGTTTGTGCTGTATTTAGACTCCTCTACCAAGAAATTTGTTTTGCATGCACACGTATAAAAATTGCGGTTTTTATCCGACGCAATCATAGGTTTGAACATTGTTTTCAATTTAGACTTGTTTATATTTTTTCGTTTGGGCTTGTATTATATTTTCCTTCGGGTTTATATGATCCGTTCATCCTATTTTGACTCTTCAAAATTCAAGAGTCTATCCTAAATTGAGGTAAATTATATGGCCTTCCAAATACCGTTTCGATCCCTAACATCACTGAAGAGACATTAATTGTCGAAATTCGGATATGGTGTACAAATTTTTGCACCTCATGTTTGCGGTATTACATCTTTTTCCCAAGTTTATTGCTTTCTGTTTGATATTAAATTAATAATTTAGATCCATTTTGTTACATCTTGTGATCCGTTTATTTGGCAATCGCCATGGCAGTCAGCAGGGTTTAAGAACATCAGTTGTTCGACCTGTTAGTCAAATGCGTTTTGTTAAAATATACTTTTTTCACTCTTTGGTCTTTTGGAAAATGTTGTTTGTGCTGTATTTAGACCCCTCTACCAAGAAATTTGTTTTGCATGCACACGTATAAAATTGCGGTTTTTATCCAACGCAATCATAGGTTTGAACGTTGTTTTCAATTTAGACTTGTTTAAAATGACTTCATATAGTATTACTTCAAATAGTGAAAACTGGAATACTGGATGGGATATCAAATATCAGTGTCAATAAATAAATAAATAAACCAGTTTATTCATAACTATTATTTTTTATATTTCACTATGCATGAACACTTTGTAGAAGGCTCATGTCAATAAGTATTGAACAAATTTCTAAACAAAGGAATGCACACATTTGTTCTGGTGTTTTTTAATCCTGGAAAATTATGGAAATTATAAAATAATTAAGATTTCCACGAGAGTAAAAAATAAATCTTTTGAGTTATCTCCCATTAGAAAGAGCAAATGAGATAAAAGAGGTCTTTTTCAACAATACAAAAGAAATCCAAGGACTCATAGTCTTTGAATATGGAAACATTAAGAGGAAATATAATGCATTATATGACATGCAAGTTAATACCCTGCAAGAAAAATAAAACATATATATTCTTGTTCTGGCTTGCTCACTCTTGAAATTTGAAATGACAGTAAAATAAAAATCTCTCCTTTTTCTTCTAAATGTTGTGTTTTTTTGGAAATTGTTTGGCCAATTACTTCTAGGAATACATTCATTTCAATGAAAAAGACTGTAATTACAACGCGTATTCCCTTTACTTATTTTAGGATTCTCGAAATAAAGACATGGGGAAATGAAATTAAAAAAAATCAGCAGTCTTTAGCAAATATTAGAACATGGAATAATTTTGCATATTGTTGCCATATTTTAGCTTTTTTCATACCATATATACTTATTTAAACTGTAGGCATGTTATGTTATTTCACAAAGATAAAACCTAAATGCTACATGGATAAGTTTTGAAAAACAGTGACAATTGAACAGGTAAAGTGATGGGACATCATCAAGGTAGGCTGTAAATGCATGAATGATTACCTATTGAAACTCTTAACAATACCAACTGGTCAATTTAAATGTCCCAATTGTATTGTCAATTTTACAATCTGGTTGAACAATAGGTAAAGGTAAACAGCAACACCCATAGTCAAGTCACAGTAATTTATAGTAATATAATTACTGACTTAATAATTTATCAGTTATAATACGTTCATTATAATCTAAAACGGGACTACAGACATTTCACAGCTGAATTATTCCCAAGATTTGGCTATTGGGAAATAATATACCTGTATATATAAAATAAGGGTGGCAGAATTTACCACATAAACTGCAGACTTTTCAGCATTATTAGCTGGTTTGGTAAATTGATTACCTCTTTTTTTATTATAAATTAAAGAAATTTGCTGATGATTACCAGATAATTTGTGAAAATCAGTCAGTGTTTAGAAATGGATAAAGCACTGCAGATAATTTATTTGTCACTAACATGTTATTTAGCGTAAACAAAAGTAAAAAAAAAAAGTATTCAATCAGAATTCTTCGTCATCATACCAGCTTTTTTTTAATCTAATCATGAAAATAGAAGCAAATAAAGGGATGAAGCGCTGTCAATTTAGCTTTTGAAAAGCAATGAATTTATTCACATGGCATCATTACGATCCTTACTTGAACATGTTGAAAGTTATATTTTAAAAGACAAATGTTCTAGCTTTGTAGCATCATTTACTGACTTTAAGGATGTTCGCTCCTCTTGTTTTTGAATTTTTGCCAGATATTTCGGAATCCTCTGGTTTTATCCATGAAGTGCCATTACAAATTTTGCCCGCTAACCACTGCTTTTCTTTTCATAGCTTTATTACATATAGTTTAAAATGCCATATTTGAAAATCCTATAAAATCCTTGTTATTTTTTCATAGTTTTTGAAAGAAAAAAGGTGCCAATGTTAAATGTATGAAATATTTAGAGAGAATTTTTTCCCGCTTAATTTTTAATGGCTCATTTTTCGAAAAGAAGCACACGCACCCTTCATTTTTTTTAGTTCCTTTATTTATATACTATCAACTTATAACAGTCTTTTAAAAAGCTTGTTATTTTAAAACAGAGTAGCGAACATCCTTAAGGCCTTTTATCAATTTAAGATTATTGTCCGATTGGTTGTCAGGAGGAATTTTTGAGAGTTCAATGAAGCACTAAACTATCTATTTAGATATTTCATGGAAGGGCAGACTAGAAATTTTCAAATATTAAAGAATAATTAACCAAGATAACACACACAATCATTTATTTTTTTCGCAGTTATAAATATTTTGGATCCAAAAATAAAGTTCGTAGTCAAGGGTTTTTGGTAAAAATGCAAGGAGTGTTAGTGAAAGCTGTGTGCGACTTTTTGTTGTTTTCCAGTACGAATAAAACAATAAGTATGTCTAAATTTCAATTGCAAAAAAGGAGCGAACGAACCTTAACAAAACTGAGTAAGAAATGCTCTTAAGGTTCATCAGAAGGAATTGAAAAATATGGCCGTGTTTACACCTCAAAATTTACTCTGAATACATATTAGCCTGTGCACAATGTGAAGTTGTAAGGCATGGTAAGAACTAGTTAATTAAATTTTAAATGCATGTTATGGTTTAGAAATTTTAAAACTAAATTTGATTTTGTGAACAAGCATTTTTATATTCTGCTGGATCAGCGTGTCGATCTAGCACAAAAAGGGGTCATATCCACATCACATTAAGATATTATCGTCCTGATATGCCTTTGATAATTGCAATGGGATGTTATGACCTAAGCAAATCAAATTTTAACTCATAGCATGTGTTTTTCTTCTCCTAAGAAGGTCATCAATTCAATGTACTACCTATAAATCAGTGAATCTGTAGATAAATCTTAACTAATTCAGAGATTTTGTAAGATCCATTGTCAAAATCAGGGATTTTATAAAATCACTAATCAGTTCAGTTACAAAACTCCTGCATTTTCAGGGATTTTACAAAATCCCTGATTTTACAAATTCACTGTAACATATAGTCTGAATCACGTCTGAAAAGTAATTCATGTTTGACTTGAACATGTTGTACTCTAATGAGAGTGTACTATAATTGACAATATCTTTATCGAAGCCTGTCAGGAAAAAAATAGGCTTGATAATATATCTTAATGTTTCTACATAAGATCCTTGCGATGGGGTTCGTATCCCTCAATAGAGAAACTGGGGCTTATTTATATTCCCCATGTATCCCTTCGGGACATTTCAGATAAGAGTTAATAAAAGCGTGCACAATAGCTCTCATACCTACCATTAACGTTCAAAGCATAGTTATCATATCTGTTTTGAAATCAGTATTTTGAGAGAGAAAAAAACACAAATTTAAAAATCAGTTTTATGTTTAAACTTGACAGAAGTAATTTTATTGTGTATCTTTTGATGTCATTTTTATAAATCAAAAAATTAAAACAATAGGTTTTTCTTGGCATGCAAATTAGATGCATTGGTCGTCAACTTCAAAATGGTCTCCATTTTATATTTTTTGCAAATGTCCGACCACTTACAAATTATCAAGGATGGGGAGTCTGGTGAAATGCCGAATCAATTTTCAAATGACAGTAAGAATTTGACTAAAGTCAATATAAAAATTAATATCAAGTTATTTTTATGAATTAAAGACGATTTTGGATAAATTAGATAATTACCCTAATGCATTTGATTTGTTCGTCATTGCTTTTTTTGTATGTTAGTTTTGTTTGATTTAAATTCTATTCTAATATAAGCTTTTCATGTTATAACATTAACGGTACCAATTTTACTGCACCAGATGCGCATTTCGTCAATAAATGTCTCTTCAGTAATGCTCGAGGCCAACATATTTGAAAATCAAAAATTTATTAAAAACAATGATGAGATTATAAATCACCAAGGACAAATAGAATTGCCAAAGCCGGACATGGAATCATCGTTTTGCATGATGAAGATATATTCCTTAATTTGAAATAAGTTCATAAAATTTGTAACAGTAAAGTTGATTACGTATTTTAATGCCAGTACCGAAGTACTGGCTACTGGGAGGTGATACCCTCGGGTACTAACAGTTAACTACAAGAACTATCGACCCAGTGGTAGTAATAACATTAACGGTACAAATTTTACTGCACCAGATGCGCATTTCAACAATAACTGTCTCTTCAGTGTTGATCGAGGCTAAAATATTTGAAAATCCAAAACTTATTAAAAGATGTCTGCTGTTTGTTTTTTAAAAGTTATAATAAGTGTCGATATTTGTATTTCTAAAATTATAGTTTTAGTTAAGCAAATATAATTTTTCTTGATCAATATCCTACAAAAGTAATCATTTTCAACAGCAACATATTTAGGATTGAATGGTATATCTTTTTTTTTCTTATTTAAGGAAGATAAAAATTCTAATTTCAATCTTACGTTTAAATCAAACTTACGTTTAAATCAAACTTTTTAAATATTTCCAAACCACATAAATATATCTAATACAACAACATATGTATACATATATAGTTTATCTCGGTTAAAACCGTTTGAGATAAAAACAATCAATTTAAGGTACTATCAGTCCTTAATATATGAATTATTTCTTTGTTACCAATGAAACCATGAAAGTTTCGGGCTGAGAAGAAGTTAAAAGAAAGTTATTAAAAAAAAATGACATATTTTCGTTATCTTTTTTTGTGCAGTTAAGATCTTTTTGTTGGACATCTTGTCGTATATATTGAATAATGAATGACAATAAAAAGGCAATTCTAGAAGTTTGTTGAAATGTTCTTGTCTGATATCAGTAATTCAACCCATATTTCTAATGTAATTAACCATTTAATAAATAGACCTCCTCGGAGCTCTTATGTCATTTAAGAAATGTTATCCATTGACTGTTTATCGTTCCATTACTAGGTCATTGATTCTTTAGTCTAACTTATAAGTTTGAGTTTGTAAAAGAAGTGCTATTATTTGATTTACGTAGACATATAGCTTTACAACAGTATTAAAACTATGAACCTGAAATTACAATAACAATGTAAGGTATGTTTCAGTCGTGTACGATTAGGTTTAAAAAATTGTACATATAGGATATATTTACAATATATCCTACATTGTAGTAAAAAAAATATGTATTTTACTTGTACGAGTTTTATCTATATGAAAAAAGCGAGACGTGCTGAGCTTTTTTACCTGTTTCGTAGCAAGTACAAGCAGAAACTGATAACACCACCACAAACAACGAAAGACGACGAAAACACCAAAAAGTCCACAAAACAATACATTTAAACTTAAGACTTAGTCGAACGAATCCCACTACAAACTTGGGATGATCTCATATGGTCCCTTAGAGTAGACAGATTCTGTTACAGTAGTGGTACCTATCATGTTGCTTATAGTAAGTACAAATCCGTTGATATGTCTTATTTGGTTTCTTTTTACTAGCTCTCTGCACGTTAAGAATCCTTGCAACAACTCTTTGAAGGGTCCGAAGGTGGCCTGATGCAAACCCTCACATTCTTGTGGCAGTCAAAATTTCCCCGACCTTATCCCGGACGGCCTCAATTTCAGGACCTACCTATTGTATTTATTGTTAATTTGTTCTCGTCCTGAAAATGAATGAAATATTTGCCACTTGACGTTAAGCAATAAACAATCAATCAATTAATCTCTAACAGATCATTGGAATTTTCTGATTCACCCCGCCCAGAAGGTGAATAGTTTCACAGTAACTAAGGCCCAACTTTGATTCCTTATCAACTTAAAGTTAATAGTGTGGAAGGAGGATTCATGCATCACTTTTCAGATAAATTAGTATAACTAGTATAACGTTGTTTGTATGGACACTCATGTAGTTTAGATTGTTCAGTAGTTGGTTATTACATGTACACATCAAATTCATACTGAATTGTCTGAAAAGCTACTGAACAGAACTGAATTGACTGCAAGCGAATTGTCTCAATAGTTCTGATTTTACCGCAGCAGATAAGTCTGGAAATTGACTGAAAAAAAAACATGACTGAATTATATATTGTACAGACTTTTCAGATGATGTTCAGATCAAAATGATCGTTTAAGACGAATGAAATGCATTGTTTAGTGTCTGTTATGCATGGTTCGGATTAAATCGGGAATTGTTTATGCTATTTTCACATCTATCGACATTATTTTTGTAATATCACAAACATATTTTTTTTATTTGCTTCGTGTATTTTGAAATCGCCAGGAAACGTTTATTATGCTATCATATAGACTGTCAGTTCGCTTCTCGTCTAGTAGTGAATGATTTTGTAATGGCAAGATTAAATAAAACATTTCACACACCGACCCAAGGGTAGTAATTTATACATTTGAAATTCATTTTCCATTTAGTTATCAATTTTTTTACGTATGCTCTGTACAATGATGGGGGTTATATTTTTAAGTTCGTCTGATATCTTAAACATATGATCATCTGAACAGTTTCCCTACTTCGGAGGATGTGTTATATCGAACTTTAACGTAACGGATATCGTTACTATGACATTGGTAAAATGTGATATTTGTGATATAAACTGATGTGAAATTAGTGTATTCAAGTTAGCATGGTTAGAAGTTTGCATATACTTAGTAAATACTCATTAAGGAATGGACAAATATGGCCGTGTTTGCATTAAGATATATTCTCTGAGTACAGAATAACCGATGCATTAAGGAGAGTTTTAAGGCGTGACTGGACATAGCTTATAAAACTTATGATATGCAATTGATGTTTAAAAGAATAAAAATTTACCTGGATTTTGGTGTGCATTTGTTTCAAGTCTGCAGAAGATAGCAAAATAAACACACTTTAGTTACATTTGATACGTTCCACTCAGCTACAGAGTTTAAGTCACCTAATGTTGAGCAGATACTTTTTGTCCCTGTATAGTCCATGTTATCAATACACTTCACAACATTTATTATATAAGGGAGGAGGGGTTGCTTTTCAAACATCTTTCCTTCTGCAGGAATGACAAAAATGAAAAAAGCAAAATCCAGTTAAGTTTTTAATATTCTGAAACTTAAATCCATGTTAAATTTATTTATCTAAGTCTAGACATGCTTTAACATGTTTCCAGGTGCACAATTTTGTCTGTACTCAGAGTGAAATTTGTGATGTACATTTGTAAATCCTCTAAAGCCCTTGGGTCATCCAAAATTTATCGATTATTATTTTCTTTTTTAAGACCTTTTACTTTTTTATATTCCAAACCTACAGTCTCTAGTGTACCTGATGAAGGTAAATCCACAATCTTGTTGTGTGCAAGGAAATTGTCATGATATCATGTTTTCATTTTTGGTTTAATAGATTCCAAGGTCATAATGTAACTCAAATACTAGAAGTCCATTACTAGGATAAGTGTGCAAGCTCTGTTATAGGTTTAGAAGGTCACATGGGGTAAATTCATGAATATTTCTACCCAGAATGCATTACAAAATATGTGGCCATACAATCTGTTACTAACAATATAAGGAAGATCCTCTGAACTCAATTGAAAGTTCAATTGGGAGACTGTAATTTCCCTAGCTATACAGAAAGTTGCATACTTCTACTAGTAAATGAATTTTGCCAAATACTTATACTTAAAATAACAATAAAACAGGTTCTTGATAAGACTGTGATTTTTGTCTCGCCTTGACGGAATTAAAAAGCGAGACATAGGTATGCTGTTTCCAGCGGCGGAGGCGGCGGCATCAACAATGTATTAGTTTGTGATTATGTCTAGTTTATGGTGAACCACTAGTAGTAGGTCTATAATATTTGATATGCAGTTGTATTAGCATTGGCATATCTCATTACGATGGAGATTATTTGGCCCCGCCCCCTCAGTCATGGTCTATGTACTTTGAAACTTTGTTTAGTTTACATGTATTAGTTTGTGATTAGGTCAGTTAATGGGGAACCACTAGTGGTAGGTCAATGATATCTGGTATGCAGTTGTAAAAGCATTGGCATATCTCATTTTCTTGGAGATTATTTGGCTCCGCCTCTTCAGTCGTGGTCTATTGACTTTGAAACATTTGCTTTGTTTACATGCAGTAGTTTGTGATTAGGTCAGATTAAGGGGAACCACTAGTGGTAGGTCAATGATATGTGGTATGCGGTTGTAAAAGCTTTAACATATCTCATTTCCATAGAGATTATTTGGCTCCGCCCCTTCAGTCGTGGTCTATTGACTTTGAAACTTTTGCTTAGTTTACATGCATTAGTTTGTGATTAGGTCAGCTTAAGGGGAACCGTTAGTGGTAGCTATAGGTCAATGATAATTGGTATGCAGTTGTATAAGCATTAGCATATCTAATTTCCATGGATAATATTTTGTCCTTACCCCTCAGTCATGGTCTATTGACTTTGAAACTTTTGCTTAGTTTACATGTATTAGTTTGTGATTAGGTCAGTTTAAGATGGACCACTTATGTTAATTCAATGATATTTGGTATGCAAATGTATTGGCATTTGCAAGTTTCATTTCCATGTAGATTATATAGCCCCACCTCCTCGTCATGGTTCATTGACTTTGAAACTTTTACATAGTTTACAAGTTAATGTTTGTGTTTCAAGTTTTTTTTTAAAGAGAACGACTTATGAAAAGTCAATGGTATTTGGTATGCAGTTGTATCAGCATTGGCACATCTAATATTCATGGAGATGGTTTAGACCTTCAATCAAGGTTCATTGACTTTGAATATTTGCATAACTTACATGTTAAAGTATTGCTATTTTAATTTCAATATTTGCATTATCAAAATAACAAATAGGCGAGACATATCTCTGTGTTAACAGTCAATTTTTCAAAATTAGAGTCCAGAACTTTCAATACAGTACAAACTGAGACTCCAAAAAATTAATATGAGTAGGCATACAATATGTCCTTTGTTGTGATTTGAGTTTTTGAGTTTTGTCTCATTTAAGTATACCGGTATACCCCACATCTCCTTTTATTCATAAGAACGGCAGCAAGTTAAAGTTTAGAACAACAGGTGCTATGGTATTTTTAGATAAAGTGTACACTGTAAACCAACTAAATTTTGTGACCTTTGCGTGTAGAAGAATATAATACATGAAAATATGTACAACTTAGGTCTTCTCCTATACAAATGCTTCAAGAAAATTAAAAATTCACGCCAAGAAGTCTGCTGGAATTAAGATTATTGCAAAAATAATGTATCCGTGAAAATAAGTTGGTTTACAGTAATATAAAATGAATTAAGAATAAACTTCTGTGTTAGTTAATTGAAAAATATTAAAGAAGTTCAAAACTTAAGTTTACATTTTTGTAGCAATAGAGGAAGTGTTATAAGTGAAAGTTGTTCTGCAAAGAAGACTGCAACAGCTTTCCTCAGTAAACTTGGAATACAAGACTGTGATATTGATATTATGGAGGTAATGATAAGGCTAGACAATTTATTTAGGTCATATTTAGTAGTATAGGTCAGAAGGTTGTAACAATGAAAGACAATGCTGGTTCGTATGTTAATGATTTCTGAGATGTCAATGGCCGAAAGGTTTTGCCTGCAAATTTATCATTTATTTTTTTTTT